CGCCTCCGAGCGCGGGCAGCAGGGTGGGGCGAGCGGCAGAGCCGTGGAGGACGTGGCCGGGCGCCCCGGGCATGAGCAGGACCCGAGGCCGGGGGCCAGGGGCCCAGAAGGTGAGGGCACCCCGGTGGGCACAGGGTGGGTGCTTGGTGGGCAGCAGGCAGGGTGCGGGAAGCAGGCCTCGTGGGGGGAGGGCAGGCTGGCGGAGGAGGCAGGCACAAAGGAGGGCAGTGCCAGGCAGCCTTGCCCGCCTGCCTGCCCCAGCCGGCCTCCTGCCGCCGGGCCTGGCCTGGGCTCCGTGGGGGGGATGCATGAGCTCGGCCCCAGCAGGAGCAGCAGACATGGAGCTGTGGCCGCAGGTCCAGCCGCACAGCAGCGGAGGAAGGGCCCAGGGAGGCAGGCGGGGCTGGGTCTGTCAAGGAGAAAAACATCCCAAGGCCTGCAAATTGCTGCTCTCAGCTTTTCCCCCTCCTCCTGCTTGGGGGAAAAAAAAGCAGAGCTTCCTCTGGAGGCGGATGCAAAAAGGATGCAGAATTTTAACCGTCTCCTGTACCGGCTGGTCCTTCCCGAGCAGGGCTTAGGCCCAGGCCCAGCCGGGGCACCATGGGCAGCCAATGGCTGGGGCCTGATGTCTTTTCTGGGAGATTCTGGAAAGCCATACCCCCTCAGGATCCCTCCAGAAACTGGGACCTGCAGCTCCCGTGGCACGGCTCGGGATGGGGTCACTGCCCAGCGCCTCATGGGCTCAGCGCATCACAGGCTGCGCGCTCACTGCCAGTTGCTGCCCATGTTGTCCACCGCGTCTGCTTGCTGGGCTCCTCTACGGGGGTTGGAGGTGGTGGCTGGGGACCTCAGCACAGCTCATACCGACCTGGGCCCTCAGTCACAGCAGGACCCTGGGCCTCTCTCATGGCCTGTTCTTGTGCTTTAAAAATTACGTGGGCTGTTTTCTGGCATCGAGTGGGGCCTGGCGCTCTGTGCATTAGAGCAGGACTGAGGGTGAAGGGGAGGGTGAGCAGGGCCAATAGCAGGCCAGCGCCAACGCAGAGGAGGCCGCACCCGGCCCAGGGAGAGGCCCGGGGAGAGGCCCCGGGAGATGCAGGTGTGGGAACTTGGGGAATGGCCCAGGTCCATGTGCCACCAGGGACCTGAGGGCCCATGAAATGTTTTAATTTTAATTTCTTCTATAATCAGAAGGAAAAATGAGTAAAAAAATAGTGAATTTACAATAATGAGTTCAGCCTAGGTCATATTGTTCTGTAATCCAATGCAGTCATTAAATATGATTTTTAATATTTATGGAGGAAGGGCCTGGGAAGGCAGAGGTGCCCTGGCCCATGAAGGTCAGCTCTGATCCTGGTTAGTTCAGACTGTCCCAGGGCCAAGGGTCCAGTGTCTGGCCCTGAGAGGTCTTGGGTTCCCTGTGAACTGGGCTTCCCCAGAGGCTAGCCCCACAGGGATATCGGTGCCTGCTGTGGAGAGAAGCCAGGGCCTGGCCCCCTGCGTGTGTGTGTGTGTGTGTCCTCATGTGCACACATGCGTGTTTCACAATGGATTCCCAGACATCTGAATGTGCAAGTTCCAATTCAAGAGGCACACATGTGCAAGGCTGGGTCAGGGCAGTGTGTGAGGGTCGGAATGTGGGGAGCTATTGCCCCCTAAGAAAGAGCAGGCTTCCAGGCGGTCCGTAGCCCCTGCACCCACGCGCTCGCCCAGCAGCATCCAGGGCAACTCAACAAGCTGCAAACAGCTACATCTGTGATCTCATGTGTTCCAGCAACTGCTTTAGAAGGTAACAATAAAGAGGTGAGAGTCACTTAATAACAAAATTCATTTACTCTAAAAAATACACGTCTGTATATCCCAAATAACTAGTCGATGAGCCAATGAGCTAGCCAACACTTTTCACACTAAGTCTTGAAAACCCTAAGCATATTCTACTTAGGTGTCCCGCTTCTGATCCTCCACATGTTAAGGGCTCAGATGCCACACATGACTGCTTCAGACACTGCAGGGTTAGCAGGGTCCTGTGTCCCCATGTCCTTCCTCCCAGAGTGGTGAAGACTGGTTTTATGCTTTTTTTTTTTTTTTTTTTTTTTTTTTTTTTTTTTTTTTTTTTTGCTAGCGTCCCTCTTGGCCAGGAAAGGACTCTTCTATTGGTTCACCAAGCCCCCCGCGTCCTTGGGAGCCCAAAGCATGGGTGTCGGGCTGTAGGTTTCCAGAGCAAGGGGGAACTGGTGGAAAGGGTTCTTCAACTGTGCTCCCAGACGCCAGCGGATGATACAAAGGGCTGGCTTCAGGCTCACAATAGTGGGGTGGTTAGTCACAGTGCCAGGGCAGCGGGCAGGGAGACAGAGCCCCTGTGTCTGTGCCTGTTGGGCCGGGCCCTGCAGCCCCGTGCCCCTGCCTGTGGCTTTTGTTTGCAGCACCCACCCCGCTCCCCACGTTAACCCCCTGCTGCCCACCGCCTACCTGGCAGCCAGGCTGGTGCCTCCTTGCCAGGCTCTGGTTTCCAGCAGCCATCCTGGCCAGAGGTACGCTGCTGCCTTAAACTGGGTCAGGCCTCCGTGGTTTCACTGGCCGCTCTTGGGAAACAGGCTTCAGCCGGCTCCATCCTGATCCCCGTGGCTGGCCAGCGTCCCTGTGGCTGTGGCCGAGGAGGGACTTCGTATTCGTTAGAGAACCCAGTGTGCCAGGCTCCCTGCTCTCAGGTCTCACCAGCATTTGAAAGTGTGCAACGTCCAGAGACCACGTTTCTAGAAGCACCGAGCAGCTGACACTGGGAAACGAAGGAGTGGCCCTGAAGCGGTCGGTGACTGTGTGTCTTCAAGTGAGCAGGCCGATATAAATATTTTAATCCTGTGTGTAGATAGATGGAGGAGATAAAACACATTAGTGAAGACCCCGCCCTGTCTGGAGAGTCCCTGAAAGCGGCCTTTGCTGTACCAGCCTCAGCGTTTGTATTTCGTAGTTACCATTAAATTCTGCCTTCCACGCTGCTGTCCCAGAGCCTCGGAGGCTGAAGTATCGTTTTGTTGTGATTTGACAGTTAAATTATTGACACTCGCGGAAGGTAATTTCCCCCCCAAAAGGTATAAATCACAGCTAACAGTTTCTCTCTCTTTTTAATTTAAAAATCATCTCTGCGAAGATTCTGCACATTGGTTTTTCTTTGCTGAGTTAACGTGGCATGTGTTTTTGTTTTAGAAAGCAGAGATGTTTTCTAGTGCCCAGTGTGAGGAGGGGAAGTACAATCAGGGGTCTTTTGAAAATGTGCCCATCTACCTACAGCTTAAAAATTCCAAGTGCCCGACGTTTCTCTTGGAAGAAATAAATGTGTCCAATTTGGTCACCTTACCTGTTGATTGTATTTTGTGATTATTTATTTTATAATTGGATCCGCATCTAGCACCGGAACTGCCTTTGGTGTGGGGAAAGCCTTGTCTGTCCGGTACATGGGACCCTGGAGCCTGACCTTTACCATGCTGGGGCTCTGGTGTGGGGCAGTGGGCTCCTGGGACAGGAGGGGTCTGCCTGCAGCAGCTCGGCCCACTCTGCCTTCAGAGAGCAGGGATGGGAGACGTGTGCTCGGCGCACATCGTCTTGTTCTGATTTATTCTAAGCAGCTAAGATGGTTTTAGCACAGAGTGGTGTATCTTACTTGCCTCTGAGAGCCTTGGGCTTTTCAAGCTGGAGTACATTTTTTTTTAAAACCCAAATTTAGAAATTGCCTTTTTGAGTAGAAAACAGCACGCTGATTTGCCTTTTAACCCAGTTTTTAAAGGAAGATACTTAATATCAAATACGTCAGTTTGGAGATTGGCCTCCCGGCTGTTATCCAGGGGACAGCAATGGCCCTGTCTCAACAGACAGAGGAAAGAGCAGGCATCTCCCTGCAGCCGTGAGTCCTGGGTGGATGCATCCCAGACATGCGCTGAGTCCTCATCCTGTGAACGCTTTTTCCTTCCAAGGAGGAGTGTGGCATTCGGCTCTAACGTAATGGTGTGGAAAAGAGTCTCACCTGGCTGAGACACTGTCACTCTCAACCAGGACACTTCCCAGCATGACCCACAAGCTGGCTCAGGCACCTCAAATGATATAGAGACCCATGCAAATACCATTACCCAAAACAATGTTTGCTCCTGCAGTTCCCCTGGCCACAGGCATTGTGGGAAGTGCTTGGGGTGGATAGGAAGCCCACCGATCCCCTGGGAAAGCAGCCTAGAAGTGCCTCTGGGGAACCCAAGTGCTCTTCACTCCTCCACATTGGGCCTACCCGGTTTAAAACGAGCACAGTGTCCAGCCCTGCTCACTGTCAAGGGCTGCTGCAGGGAACGTGGGCGCAGCAGCCAGGGCTGACATGGTAGAGCTGCCCAGTTTTGTTTTCTATTTGAAGGTGTCTTTGTGCAGGGGAAAGGGCTAGAGACACGGGAACTGCCACTCTGGTTCCAACGACTCTTCTGGCAATATACATGATTGCTATTTATGTTAAATTCACAAATATTAACAGTTAATTTCATTCTTAAGTATGAATTATAACTATTTGACATATCATGGACATATCAGTCATATAGTCCTTTTCTAATTCTGCTCAGTGCAGAAAATTTGGAAAATACAGGAAATGCATATGAGGGGGAGACTGTTCTTCCCCCCACGCAGAGACCTCTCTGGCCACATTTTCATGTTCCCTTCTCCCTGGTCCCTGCAGCTATCTATCAAGTGACACCGTTGAACTTCTCTGCTCGTTCTTGCTGGTTCCTCTGCCCTTCTGCTCAACAGAAGGCTGCCTCTTCCAGGTGCCAGCTCAGGCCCTGGGGGGTCAGGGACAAGGCCTCAGGATCCCTGGCACCAGCCTCTGGCCCCTGCAGTTTTGGAAGTCTAGCTGGGACAGGCCAGAACTACTACCAGCACAGACCCATGGCAGAGCCAAGGCTGAGAGCAGGATCCAGGCAGGAATGGGCGCTGTGAGGGAGACTCAGAGATGAACAAGCGAGGTCTTCCCGGGGCAGGAGACGGAAGGACAGGCAGGCCAGCCAGCCAGAAAACACAGGAAGCCTGCAGCACAGGGAGGTGGCAGAAGGCAGCACTGAAGCTCAGTTCCCCAGGGAGGAAGGACACTTGGTCTAGATCCTGCAGACCACTTCTTAGACGGGCAATGTCTGGTCAGTACTGTTGAGATGATGCTTCCAACGTGCCAGCTTGGGCCTGACAGAGACCTGCTGAGCAGTGGGCTTAGTGCAAGCACTTTGGGAGGCAGGAATGTGCTAGAACTTAAGTGTCAGGGCACAATCCCCAAATGCCTTCTCACCGCCAGGCATGTGCCCCAGCTGGGCCCACAGGCTGGTCAGGTGAAGGTGTCATAGAACCAGGCCCCTGGAGGTGAGACCAGCAGATTTCCTCATTGCTTTCTGGAGTGACTGTGAGGTGAAGGGAATTCCAGAATCGCCAAGTTCCTTGCTGGTAGGATAAACGAGATCTGCAGGGTCAGCCTCACCCCCTTAGAATGGCTGGGCAGCAGCCTCCAAGTTTTAACAACAGATCATTCGAGATTCATTAGTAAGCCATGTTACAGACAAATTTCCAGGCAGGCTCACGATTTGCAGTGTTAGTTATAGGACAGGAATACTAGCCAGAGGGCTGGGGTTGTAGCTCAGTGGTAGAGAGCTTGCCTTGTGTGTGTGAGGCACTGGGTTCGATTCTCAGCACTGCATGTAAACAAACAAATCAATAAAGGTACATTAATAACTAATGAAAATATTTAAAAAAAAGAAATACTAGCAAGAAATGAAATATGAAATAGTAGGAGACAGGGCAATAAATTACCTTGGAACGAAGTAATGACACATTGTGTCACCCTTAAAATGGTGTTGACAAAGAATTTGTAAAGTCACAGTAAGTAAGGATAACAACATTTCCTTAAGAGTGAGTCTGTATATAAACCTTGTCATTGTAAGCCTGAGCGATAGTTGAAAAGGAGACACACAGACATTATTTTTGGATGAATAATATCACAGAGGTGAATAAATTCACAGAGATGAATTTTCTTTTTTTTCTGTGTATTTTATACTTGATCCATATTTTCTACTTACTTCTTAAATTATCTGTATCTAAAATATCTCTTTATACTTTGTTCTTAAATGGCTAGTATACTAGACTTTCCTGTGCGTTCCTTAAATATGTGCTATTTTTATAAACCAGAAAAAAATCATTTTTAAAGGCTTGTAATAGAAATCCAGACTAAAGGCATGTTTTCCTTTGGTTGTTGGGCAAAGAAGGCAGGTAGCAGAAATATTCGTTAGGCCAACAAATACTCATAGTATGTAAATACTCTTTGGTCTTTTATAAAAAATTTGTTCCTTTAAAAAAGATAGCTTACTAATCAAATATGATGGAGTCCCTAATCAAACATATATACTTACTCACACAACCAGGGCATAAAGAGCTCAAGATTTCGTGTGGACTTAAGAAGTGGTTTTTGTCCCTTAAACTGGCAGCATGAGGAAAGAAGACCATCTCCTTCTTGGACATTTGGTCAGTGCCTGTGCTTCTGGCCTCTCTTGCTTGGTATTTAAAACCTCTTCTGCGGATGCTGCAAGTGCATTACTGAAGAAGGATAAAGATCCCAGATTCAGAATGTCAGATGGTAAACCAGTTTTGGTTGGAAATCTCGGTGGCTTTTCATGCTTATCATTTGCCTTAAAAAAAAAAAAAGAAAGAAAGAAAAGAAAAAGAACATCATTATTTCCTTTAGTCATACTTTCAAACGCATTTATATCTCAAAACATTTCTTTGCATGCCTTAAGTCACCTGCTATTTATGTCTGGGGTGCATGCTTGTGTTAAGAGGTGGGGATTTTATTTTTTAAACTATAATGCTGCAGGGTTTTGTGATTTCGGAAAATTTGTGCATGTTTCCAACTAAACATTTCTGAGTCCTCAGGCAAGTGCGATTTGCTTCCCTGTAATACGAACGTCCTGCCCTGGACGTGCAGGACTGGAAAGGGCGGACTTTTCTAAAATTCAGGGCCCAGGAATTGATACAACGTCCCCGTTGGCTTCAAAGGCTCAGTGGGGGCTTCTGGTGACGTCTGCACGTGGACCGCCAGTGAGACACGGGGTCTGCCCGGTGCCTGCAGGACCCAGAGCTGGCCGCGCACGTCTCAGCGGGGGGCGCGTGGCCGAGCCTCAGTTTCCCTGGGGGCGGGTTAGGCGCGGCTGCGCGGGGAAGGGGCCTGCACGCGCCTGGCCGGCCGCCCCTGGGAGGTCCGCTGGTCGCCAGCCGCCGGGGCGCGACCCTCTAATCCGCTTTAGTCAATATACTGCGCTCTGCTTCGGCAGAGCAAACAGGCGGGAACAAAGCGGCGGCCGCCGGCCCGCGACTCCTGACCCCGGGGTCGCGCCCTTTGTTCGCCCTCAATGGGACCGCCCCGCCACCCGGCCCGCGGCTAATTGGGGCGCGTGCCACCGCCGCCGGGGCGCGGTCCGGGGCCTGCGTCTGCATCTGCGCAGCGACGTGGGCTCCGGCACTCACGCAGGCCTGGACCGCGGACTTGGACTGGACCTCACCTTGGACTGGGACCTGGACCCTACTCGGGCCTTCGGGGAAGAAAGACGCTGGCTTAAATGCGACAGACACCGGACCTCGGACCCCAGTCCAGACGCGGACCCGGACCCGGACCTGGACCTGGACCTGGACGCGGACCTGGACGCGGACCTCAGAGCCGCTCCCGCCTGGCCCTGGCGCTGGCTCCTGACTCCATCCCGGACCCCAGAACCCCAGGCGCCCGACCTGGCCGCGCCTGGAGCTGACTCCTGCCAGCGCGGGCCGGGACCCCTGCTCGGACGCGGTCTGGACCCACTCCCAGCCCCAAGTGCACCCAGGCCACACTCCAGGCCTCGGTCGGACCCCGAAAGTCGCAGGCACGGCATTTGCGGATGCGGACTCGGACCCGGTGCCTACTCGTACCTGGCCCGTGCGGATGCAGTCCGCGGCCCTCGCTGCAGCTTGTGGGCTGCCTGGAGGAGGCGCGTCGAGGCCTCCTGCGGGGCGCTGCTGCCGCCCGGCATGTTCCCCACTGGCGGGCTAGCCGCTGCCCTCCCCCCGGCTGGCTCCCGCGGCCACCTGGGTGCCTGCCACCTGGAGGGAGGGTCCAGGCGACATCGTTCCTGGGTCCCAGGCCCCGGAACGCTCTCAGGGGCCTCAGCGGGATGTAGAGAGGTCCTCCGTCGTCGGTTTTCGTTTTCTGCTCCTCTTCCTACTTGGAAGGCTCTGACAGTTGCTTCATGAAAGAAAATGCAGAATCCCCCAGGAGGGAAAGAGCACCCCCAGGCCCTTCTGCACGGCCACAGCCCCCTTTCTTCCTCCACATCGCCCCACCTTTCCAGCTCGGGATGCGAGTGCAGTGGCATTCCTTACCGGTGTCCTGAGTCTTTGTTTCCCCTCAGTGTTGTAATTTTTATTCCAAGACGCTTTTGAGACTTAGTTCCTTGTGATTTAAGAAAATGGTTTCTGTTGTTTTAAACGCACCTTTTCTCTCGTAATTAGATGCAAAAGAGAAACCAGAAAAGGACTCCTGGAAGCCCTGGCCTTTGAAGACTGAGTGGTCCCCAGGCCTTGGCAGCGCTGGGCAATAGCCCTCTGGCCTTAGTCTCCCTTAGTCGGAACTTTTGTTTCCAGATTTGACTACAGCTTAGGCTTTGCCAGGAAGACTTTGAAATGAGAACTTGTTTCTGAGCTTGTTGATCGTGGGGCAGAATTTGGTTTCAAGAAAGCTCGGTGTTCCTGAGCTGCTGGGGCCTGCCTTGTGAGGGTGGCACTGGGTGAGAATCCTGCCTTGTACCAGGAGCAGGGCGAGGCAGGGGCATTGGTGACTTTGCCTGTGTGTTGTGCAAATCTGTGCCTGTGGAAGGGGCGTCCACGGAGGTGAGCCTCGTGATTCCCGTTTCCCTAGACAGCTTCCCAGATAACCCGCTCCTTTTTGTCGGTCTTCCCTCATTTCTACCTCGTCTTTCTCTTTCCCGAGGGTGATTATTCCATCTACTAGTGTGAGTTTGCCTCTGTGGGATGCTGAGGTCCATGCCCGGACCTCTGAAGGAGAAAGCTGGCTCAAGGGGCCAGTCACCAGCTGCCCTTGGTGACCTGACCTGAGACCTTGACTTTCCCCACCAGGCTCACCGTCTGCTGAGGCTGGCCCTTTACACTGAGGCTGTGGGGCAGGTGCCTACCAGAGTCACAGAGCCAGGGTGGGGCTCAGGTGGGGTCCAGAACCCCCTGGTTGCTTGACCAGGAGGTTGCAGTTGCAGGGCACTGGCCCCTGGCACACCAAGGCAGTGGATGGCACATATTCGGATCCTGCAGCCCAGGCCAGGCAGCTTTGTGACAAGAACTCTTGCGGGCTCGGTGGGGAGCTTGTGTCTGTGATTTTGCACCCCAGTCTATCCATCCCAGGGTGGTTTTGAGGGGGTGGTCAGGATGAACCTGGCAGAGAATGGTGGGAGACTCAGAGGACCAACACTGGCTGCAGGGCTCAGGCCCGGGTTGCCAAAGCTGGACTAGGTCAGGGCAGTTCTGGGGCCAAGGTTTCAAAGGGGCTCTGTTTTTCCTGGAAATGCTCTTACCTATAAAACAAGCCTATGTGTGAGGAGTGGGAAGGTGTGGATGGTGATGTTTTCTTTTAAAAAAAAATTCCAAAAAATAACAAAGCACTTGTGTGCATGCAGTGGCGTCCCAGTTCTGTGCAGTGTCAAGCTGTGTCACTGTTCCACTTCCTGGGCCTCAGTTTCCCCAGTCTTTGAAAAACTATGACAGTTCTCATTCTGCCTGCCTCACAAGTTGTGGGAGTCATGTGAAATGGGGTGCGAGCACGCTGTGAAAATTATGAAGTGCTTGCTGTATACCCATGAGGTGCTGTCGTTTCTATCTTGGGAAAGACCCTTTACGATGATACGGTGTTTTATGGCTAAAATGTTTAGTGATTTCCTTGGTACTGGCACTTAACTAAGTGGCCAGGATGTTGGTGTTGACTTTAGCTGGGTCAAAGTTCTCTGCATAACCTCTAAGAAGTGTGCGTTCTAAGCAAGGCAAGAAATCAGGGCAAGATGGAGAACATCCCAGCCCCCTGAAGACTTTGAGCCTGATAACAAGATGGCTCCAATTTGGGGGACTGGAGTTTGAAGACCCTCCTGGGATATATGTCTGAAAACCCTGTGCTCTTAGGGACCCAGCCTGCCTTCCAGTCCGCATTCCCTGTGTAGCCTTCGGGGCCCAATCCCAGCCTGGTCACAGCTAAAGTCAACCCTTTGGCCCTCCCCCCTCCCCAGGGGGACTGGGCTCCTTCAGTCTCCAGAGAGCTTAACTACTCAGCTCCCATTCACAACACACACTTTTTTTTTTTTTTTTTTTTTTAATTTCAGGGAAGGCTTCTCTGTGTCTGAGATCTGTCCTTGTCATCTACAACAGCTTGTGTTTCCGCTGCCATTGGGTATTGGCACGTGTGTAAGGAGACAGGGTGAAACCAGAGGACTCAGGCAAGGGCCTGCCCTTCACCTGGGCCAGGTGCCCTCCAGCAAGACCTCAGATCAGCCCCTAGGCTACAGGGGCAGCCGAACTTTAATTGTTCCACATGCATGTGTCCGTGTCTGTGTGTGCGCGCACACACACACACACACATATTTGTGCACTCACACAAGTGCATATTCCAGGATACTCTCCTTGTGGAGTGAAATTTTAGTGCTCTAAGTATTAAAGTTTGAGGCACCAACAGGCTGTCTTAAAAGGCTCATTCAGCTTGTCTGCCTTGGAGCTATTTTATTTATAATTCTTCTTGTCACGTCAAAGAACTCTGTGTTTCTTGCAGACTGTGTTCGGGTGGTTGAGTGTTTTGGTTTTTGGCTACAGCTGGTTAATTTTTCCGAATCTGTAGGGCCAGGTGTGCATTGACAAGCTTTTTCCCAGCTCGAGAGGTTTCCCAGTGAGCCTCCGAGTCCTGCTATAAATTCCCAGTGCTCTATGTGCGGTAGACTTCCAATTTTAGAGAGATTTTGGGAGGGTGGGAGGGCGCCGGCAGTACCTTCGTCCAGTGCCTCCTCTGAGACACAAGGTCAAGGGCGAGGCACACTGTGGGGCAAAAGCTTGCAGCATGTTCAGAGTATGAGGGCGCTGAAGCTGGTTAATGAGTAAGGTATTAGCAAAAGTGCAAACTTCTGCTTCAAACTAAAAATCCCTGCCTCTGCCTCTCATTGAAAACCAAGCTCAGGACTGAAAATATCTCGTGTCTCTGGTTATTTTGAAATACAATTTAAAATTCTGCATTTATCATGTAAAAATTATATAGATGTTTGTTTCCAAGGCCAGTATGTATTCTTGTCTGATAGCTTGCATTACTACTTCTTTTGGAAAGAGAAAATGAACTTCGAGTGCTTTTGAAATTAGGAATTAGACCAAGAGTTGCTCTATAAATAGCCAGAAACAAAACGAAAGCATCCGTTTTCTTCTTTGGTATCTTCCTTTGGAAGCATTAAATAGTATCTTTTCTTGCAGTGGTAAATGTCGTTAAAATATTTTTGTACTTTTTATAGAAAGGGCCTATGTGAAAAATCAGACCTTAACCTTGAAGGTGACCATATCTAAAAAACTGGGATACATAGACATAGGAAAATGAAACTGTCTTTCTGTAGGAAGTTACTCCTTTGTGTTGTGCAAAATCATACTGGATTTTACAAGAATCCAATAAGAGCATTTCGATAAATATGACCAGTGTGTTCACATTTCAAGCAATTTGTAATTGACAGCCCTCCCCTCTCCTCAAAATGCCACGTTCAGCCTGCGTTCCTTCTGCGGGCAGCTAAGTGCTGTCGCAATCCTTTTAAAGAAGCAATCCGTGAAGTCTTGATTTAAAAAAAAAAAAAATCCTGCAATCCCTTGCAATTTAACAATGAGCCATTTTGAGTTTTAAATCAGCTTTTTTTCTCTCTTTTTTTTTTCTTTATTCTAGAGGGTTCTAATTTAACCAGCCCACTGAAGAACTCTGTCTCTAAGAAATACTAGTAAACTTCTCTCATTTCAGCTACGGGGAAAAGAAATTTCAACTGACTTTCATTAGCATTTCAGCATTATTTAAAAATTTGAAGCATAAACATAAATATTTGAGACAGTTTTTAAAGTTTAAAATTACACAGCTAAATTCTAAATGTGATTCAAAAGAACATTTGATCATTAAAGTAATAACAATTTAAGATCCCAGGAAAGGATGGAGAAAGTGCAAAGACACTTCCAATAAATCGGGCTTCTTGGCTGTAAAAGGAAGGAAGACTTTGGATTTTGGGGGAGTAAAATTCTTTCCAAATTTTCTGATGTACTTTCATTTTCTTGGAAATTGGTACCTCCTACCAGAAACTATAAAACTCCAAATTCTAATATATGTTAAGTTGCTAATAAAATGCTAAAATTAACACAATCAATTCTTTAGAAAAATGATATTTTCCCAGTTTAAGATGATTCCATTTTAGAATAGAATCATTCTAAAACGATTCCACTTCTCTTTGAAAAGTGATTTTATTTATTTATTTTTTAATTTTAGTTTGTACTGTACCTTCTCTTGCTTCTTATATAAAGCCAAGAATCTTGTTTTGGCATAGGATGCATGCATAGATAATCAGATTTGCTCCATCATATTTTTGTGCTGTTACTACTTTGGAAGGGAAAATATTAATTTTCATTGCTCATCTATACAAAAGCAAATTCTCCCTACTGGTGTGTGTCTATTCCAAACAATACATTAATGTATCTACGTTTGGTTAAACACACATTAATCATAGATTCCTTGTGGTTTTACGCTTTCCTTTATTAGAGAAATAATACTAACCCCTTAAGAATGCCTTTGGGGTTTTAGACTTCTTTTCAAGTTGGGGGCACTGGTGACGCTTTGTGGGTAGCAAACGTGTGAACTTCCCAAGTGGGTTGAAGTCCATGATGCCAGGCTCCTAGCAGCTTGCTAACCAGCCAGCAGCATGGCATGGGATCAGCACCCAGGAGCCCCGAGAGCAGAGGACATGCTGCTTGGCATGGCCAGCTGCAGACAGCTTCAGGGTGTTCTCTATATTTCAGGAAAGAAGAAGGGGAGATGGTGTCCTCGGACGCCATTGTCCCGCAGCCAGGCTGCGTTACTGTTGGTGGTAAATCAGCACCAAATGTGACCTACACGGGGGACTGCAGCAAAAGATTCTGAAAAGCCTTCATTATGTCTGGAAGGAGGAGAGTCCCTTCTGTGGTAGTTTGCTCGATCCTGTCCCTGTCTAGACCACATCAGCTCTCAGCAGCTTCTATGGAAATCAGGAGTTTTTTGTTCTCTCCTTCCTCAACTTCCTCTGTAAGAAATCATACCTGTGTGTGGTTACCTATTTCTGATAATATGTATATACCCATACATATTTACCCAAAGGAAAGGGATGCTATAGGTTTTGTGCGTGAGTGAGAGTAAAGCCTTCACAAAGTAGCAGCACAAGTTACCCTGAGCCAGGCGTATTAAAATGGACTCTCCAATCTGCAAACTCCTCTGAGACAAAGGCGAAAGAAAGAAAACAGAAGCCTGGTTTGCCTTTTTACGGAATAACCAAAGCTGCTTAGCAGCAACTCTGAAGGCGCCTTGTCAGGGCTGATCCAAGGGGCATCTTAACTTCGGCAAATTTGCAATCCCAGGTTTATCGGCCAGCTTTGGACACACCACAGTTCTTGACGTGCAAACTGAAGGATCAGAACCCGAGTGGGTTTCACTCACATGCATCTGCTTGCTTTGACTAGATTAAATGCATCTGCTTACTAAGTCCTCGTGATTTCTCGGGTCCTGGAAACTTAACACTATTAAATGTCGCTATGAGGAGAGAAGAGAATTGAAACTGAAGCCCACCCCCAGCCTTCTGAGGCTGGACCGCCGGCCAAGGGCAAAGGCGAGAGAGCCAGGGCTCAAGGGTATGGCAGGAAGTTGCCGGCCGCATTCCCATTAGGCAGATCTTGGGAGAAATCAGGAAAAAATAACTGTATAAGGCTGATACTGTAAACATCCTGGTACAGCGGCAGGCTTCCTAGGACTTATTTTCAAACATCTGACCTCAGGCATGGTTGTGGCCTAAAGGGACAAGCCAAGTTTTTCTTCCAGGAAAATTGTCCAGCATAATGCTCATCAGCAATGTAAATTTTCCATCTTCCCTTTTTGAGTCTTTGAGCTCACTTTAAAAATATTTTTTTACTTTGAATAATATGTGATGGCAAGTAGTGAGGGGGGGAAAAAGCGTCCAACTGAATAATACCAGTGGAATTACCTGAGTGTTATTATTTTCCTAGAATTAAGCAGAATTTGTTTTCTGAATTTGCAACCAAATTGTGTGTAAATCCTTGCCAAGTACGGGAGAGTTTTTAAAAAGTGGGTGTTCTTGAATATTCTTCTGACTCACTTGATTTCTTGTTTTATCAAATAAAAATTGGAAGGAGGGAAAATACATTAAATTAACTTATTACTGTGTGAGAGCAAGAAAAAAAATGGCCAATAAAAAGAAGGTGAGTAAGCTGGTGTGATTATACAACGATTTCAGGTGAAAATTACAAAGCTAATATCCTGGCATCTACTGCATTCAGTAATGATACCGTTGTCAACTTTGTATTTGTGCCAATGGAACAAAGTTGTAAGTGGCGTAATGGAAGATAATCTCTTTTTCTTTGTGGCTTTTTAAAATTCAGTGTTTTAATCCACTATTTAATTCATGTTTTAATCACAAAACGTATATCACATTAGTTGTAATATTTATAGTGTTTGGAAAAGTGATTATAAATAGATTATGGTGTGGTTGTTGGATACAGTCTTTTATTTCTTTACAATTATATCTCAAAGGTATGCAGCATCTTCAGAATTTGTGCCTGAGAAGAGTTTTACATTTGAAGTCATCATATATTTAGTTCGGAATCCCCATTTGTTTGGTGGTTCTGAGCTTGCTCATGAGGTTAGAAAAGTGAGATTCGGCATTAAAAGGGCCTGGTGTTATACTGTTATGATCCCTGCCCTCGGCCCTGTCCCTACGCATTTTGTTCTACAGGAGCTCCTAAACTTACTAAACCTCAAGATGTCTTTCATGTTTTGGAAGTGGTTGAACCGTGCAGTAAGGAGGGGCACAGGAGAAGCTGGTAATGGCAGTTGGTGGCTGAGCTTGTCCCTGTGTGGGTGGAGCAGAAGGGGGCTCACAGAGGGATCCGAGTGGCTTTTGGGGACTGCCAGTGCAGTCACCCTGGGTGGATGTTATGCTCTTTTCCCACACTTCCTGGTTGGGAACTCTGACTGTGAAGACTTTATAAAGGACGGTGCTAGACTAAACTGATTCTCCCTGTCCTTCTGTCAGAGGCTTGGTGTTCCTGAGCACAAAGGGACACAGGGCTCCAGGGCTCCTGGCCCTGGGTCCCACAGCTCTTCCTGCAGAGGCCACAATGCACCCTCTGCAGGAAAGAGTGAAATGGCTCCTGCTTGGGCTGAATCTTTACTGCTGCTGGCAGCCATGGAAAGTGAAAGTTGGTAAAAATTCCAGTGAAGACGTGGGCTGGAAATGTTTCTGCTCTGTTTTCGAAACCCTAGTTTTCTGATAGGGAAAAAGCAAGCTAAAAGAAGTAAGATTCCATACCCCAGACTCCCAGGAAAGCAACTGGGAAGATTTCTTAGCATATCCTGGATCCCCGCCCCCCCCCATTCTGTGTCACGGGTTGTGGTAATGATGTGGGTGTGTAGTGTCCAGCACTATCCAAGGCCAAGGCCAAGGCCATGGGGTCTACCGGGCTTGGACAGCCCCGGGTCCTCACAGTGCTGTCTAGCCCAGCCTTAACCAAGTGGCCAGTTTTCCCCTCCTGGGCAATCCAATCCAACGTGGAGTGGAGTTTCCTGGGCAGCTGGGCATGCGAGGAACTTTTGAATTTACCAATGGCATAAAAATATATATTTTTATGACAACGGGCAAGTTTCAATTGGTTGACAGAAATGGCGAGATGTGACGTCAAGGGACACTGGTTAGAATGCCAAGGCCAGAGGGGGGGTAGTAGGGGGGAGACAGGCACAGAGAGTGGGATGGGGCCCCGAGGCCATGTTTCTCTCAGGCCCTGGCCATCAACGGGGCCATCGCTGGCGTTCAGGAAGAGCTAGGTCTGCGTGGCTCTGAGCCAGAGCATACCCAGGCAGGGGGAAGGGGTCTGAGTGTAGCCACCGTGTGCTGACGGGTGTTCCCCAGGGCCAGAGTCCCAGGCCTGCGCCTCTGCAGTTTGCAGACGGCTTGGACGCCCCTGCAAAGCCGGCGGGGAAAGACGCTGCAGACTCCTTGACATCCTAACCAGTGTCCAGGCCATGGAGCCCAGGCGTTCCCCTTCCCCTGAAGGAGCCCAGGAAAGAACCGTGTGGCCTGGAGGCAGCAGTGTCGCCGTCGGGCTGAGAGCAAAGCTGCGGCCTTGAACTTCTCCCCGCAGTTTCTGCGCCCTGAGTCGGGGAAGCAGGAAGTTGTTTCCACAGGGAAGGAAGAGGGCGAGTTCCGAGCTGGGCAGTGGCTCTGGGCACTGTGCCCCCGCCCATTCTATGCCTCCCCAGACACCGTGAGCGCCCCCCAACTTTGCCAGGCACCTCGCGCGACCCCCTTACATCTCCGGCATAGTGCGCTGTCCTCCCACTCCCGCTCGCCGGATCCGCTCCACCACAGCCCAAAGGGTACCGCGCCCCTTGCTCCGCGGGGCCGGTGGTGTCCGGGAAGAGGCTGCTGGGCGCCCGTGCGCGCGACTTGCCCTGGGGAAAGCCACTGCCACTGTCGGCCACGAGTACTGTCCTAGTGCCTGGTCTAGAGCTCCACGATACACACTGGTCCCACGGAAATAAGCCGGGAGACCCTCGCGCTGCCCGCAGCGCGCACAGGGCTGCGGGCAGGCCGCGACTGTCGGTCCGCGGAGGGTCCCGGAGCCGGGCCCGAGCGTGCGCGCGCGTCCCGCTGCCCGCAATCATGGCAGCCGGCGCCTTGGAGCGCAGCCGCCGAGCGCGCCCCGGCAGCCGCTTCGGTGCCAGGGAGGGGGAAAAAGCGTCCAACTGAATAATACCAGTGGAATTACCTGAGTGTTATTATTTTCCTAGAATTAAGCAGAATTTGTTTTCTGAATTTGCAACCAAATTGTGTGTAAATCCTTGCCAAGTACGGGAGAGTTTTTAAAAAGTGGGTGTTCTTGAATATTCTTCTGACTCACTTGATTTCTTGTTTTATCAAATAAAAATTGGAAGGAGGGAAAATACATTAAATTAACTTATTACTGTGTGAGAGCAAGAAAAAAAATGGCCAATAAAAAGAAGGTGAGTAAGCTGGTGTGATTATACAACGATTTCAGGTGAAAATTACAAAGCTAATATCCTGGCATCTACTGCATTCAGTAATGATACCGTTGTCAA